AGATGGGGCGGGGTTGATCGCAGCTCGACCTTGGGCACCAGGGCCCGAAAGCAGCGGTGTCTGTGTCCTGTGTTTCCCGAGTGGAGTCAGGGTGGAGCACTGGGCTGGGCCTAGAGAGGTTGCAAGGTGGTATTCTGCCTTGGGAGACAGGGGTGGGCGGGAGGTCCTGCCGAGGTGTGGACGTAGAGGGAGGAAAGCTGCCGGGAGGGGCGGCACAGGTGGGACTGAGGCTGGGAGCTGCGGGTCCAGAGGCTCGCCCCTGCGGAGACCCGTGACTCTAGAAGGGGAAGCGCGGGAGGGAGAGCTGGTGCAAGCGGCTGGCCTGGAAGAGTCGGGTGGCTTGCCTTGTTGCTCCGCTGCCTGCATTAGGGTCCTAAGTGTCCAGAGTCCCAGCGGGTCCCAGCTTTGGAGCTGCATAATCCTGGGGCAAGTACCCGTCCCGGTCCCAAATGCTGAAGACTTCGTTGTCTTACAGGATCTTAGTAGTAGGTTGAGGAGGATTTACCACTTCCACTAGCATGCATTTTGTACGTACTAAGAACTGTACTAATAGCTGTGTAATAGTTCAAGAGCAGCTTGCGCTTACTCCACACTACCCTGTAAAATGGTAACATTGTCCGCATTTCACAGCTGAGTTTACACAGCGACATGGATTTGTACCGCGCAGCTGTGAGTGGTAGAACCAGGATATATCTGGGATCTGAGTTATTTCTAGAGTCTATCTCACCCCAAGCCTGTGCTCTTAGGCACCATATAATTACCGTCCAATTATTTACCATTCAATCATTCATTCACTCAAAAAATATTTATCAGCAGGGTGTTGTACCAGATGCCTGTAATTTCAGCACTCAGGTAGCTGAGGTAGGAGGATCTGGAGTTTGTCAGGGCCAGTCAAAGCTGCATAATCAGACCTAGTCTAAAAAACAACAAACCCACACACACATATGGCTGGGAATGGGTAGGTGCTTTTTCAAGATTCCATGTAGAACCATATACTTCTCTGTGTAGCTTTGGAGCCTGTGCTGGAACTAGCTCTGTAGACCAGGCTGGCCTCGAACTCACAGAGATCTGCCTGCCTCTGCCTCCTGGGTGCTAGGACTAAAGGCTTGCGCCATCACTGCCTGGCACTTTATTAATTTTAATTTTAATTATGTGTCTGTGTGTGGGTTTGTGCAAATGAGTGCAGATGCCTGCCCATAGATGTCAGAGGCATTGCATCCCCTGGAGCTGGAGTTACACAGTGTGAGCTATCTGATATGGTGCTGGGAACCAAATTCCAGTCATCTGCAAGAGCAGCCAGTGATCTCAACCTGTGAGCCATCTCTCCAGCACCATAACTGAGTACTCATGAAAACTCAAACAGGAGTTATCCTCCCAAAAACTTCACCACCCACCTCGTTTTACTTTCTTCTTCTATACAGGGGGAAATATACATAGCAGCTGCTTCACAGGGTCCCCGGGAAGGACATCAGTGTGGCAATCTGAAAGTACTTGGTAACTTAATGTCAATTATCCACTACTATTTGACTCCCAACGCTCCTGCCAGCAGCTCCTGGTGCAACTGGGTCTCAGGGTCTTTATTTCCTTCCTTCTCCATCATTCCAGTCACACCATGGGCCTGATCTTCCTGGATAGGACACAAATACAGACAAAGATGCAAGTGGAGTATTGACCCTATGGGGTGAAGATCCCAGGTCAACAGTACCTACGCATAGGTAGGATACACTGCTGGATATCAGCTGACTATGGAATGCAGGCAGCACCTATTGAACCAGCAGGGAATCAGGAACTCTGGCCGAGGATACAGACAGTATTTGCTATGGAGCAATTGCAAGCTTACTGGTGCTGCCTTTGGGGACTAATATTCTCTCTGTTTCACAGCTGAGTCACTGAGCTCATGTGGTGCATGGCCATATCAGCACAGCCATATACAATCCAAGAAGGATTTATCTAGGGCCTGAGATCCCCAACTAAACTGCTCTTTACTTTTTACCTTGTTTTGTTTTGTTGAAACAGGGTTTCTCTGTAGCTTTGGAGGCTGTCCTGGAACTAGCTCTTGTAGACCAGGCTGGCCTCAAACTCACAGAGATCCTCCTGTCTCTGCCTCCCGAGTGCTGGGATTAAAGGTGCCACCACTGCCTGGAATATTTTGTGTTTTTTGAGACAGGGTTTCTCTATGTAGCTCCGGCTGTCCTGGTACCCTCTATGTCTGAGGTTCTCAACCTGTGGATGGAGACCTCTTTGGGGATTGAATAACTCTTCTACAGCAGTTGCATTTCAGATATCCTGCATGTCAGATGTTCACATCACGATTCATAACAGTAGCAAAATTAAAGTTATGAAGTAGAAACAAAATAGGAAAGGGTGCTCCTATTGCCTGGAAGGCAAAGGAAGAGGCCAACAGCTTCCATAGCTCCCAAAAAAGGGACGCTGTCTGAGTTTTTAGCCCAGCAAGAACCATGTTGAACTACTATTATAAATTTGTACAGTTCAGAGATAATGAATTTCATCCATAGCAGGAAAAAAATGACATTAAAGTTGGGTGAGGTGGCATGTATCTTTAATCCCAGCACTCCAGAGGCAGACAGACCTCTGTAAATTTAGAGCTAAGCTGGGCTACGTAGTGAGTTACAAGCTGGCCAGAACCACATAGACAGTCTCAAAAAAGAAAGAAAAAGACACTGAAATTTTATTAAAGTTGTGGCAATGTGTCACCTTAAAAGGAAGCTAATTCATTCCTAGCGGTGCTCCCCCAGCCATCCTCAGACATCCCTTTCACCTCCTATACATTGAGTCCCAGGCTCTCAGCTTCCTCCACTGACTAACATTTGCTCAGTTTATCCAATGTCTTCAGCACTGACCAGTGGGACCAGCACACCTCCTTTCAGCCTTCCCATGAGGTCCCATTGGACCACACATTTCTGCAGGGCCATGTCTCACTTCCTCTCTGAATGCCATGGCCAAGCATGGTCCGCAGAGGTGGTACAGGGGACCTGGGTGTCCTTGTGTAAGATCTGGGCTCAGGAAGAGTCACCGTCAAAGAGCAAGCAGCAGATTCACATGTGTGATTGGGGAGGGGTTCTAAGATTCAGGGTCAACTGGAAATACTGCTTCTTGGGCTGTGTCGCCAGAATGATCCAGAATGTCAAGGGTAGAAGACCAGAATCCATGTGGAAAGAACCATCTGCCAGCTTGTGGAGGTCTGAGAAGGGCCCCCACAGGCTCATTTATTTGAATGTTTGATTCCCAGTTGGTGGACTGATTAGGAAAGATTAGGAGGTGTGGTCTTTTTGGAGGAGGTGTGTTCCTGGGGGTGGACTTTGAGGTCTTTTTGTTTGGTTTTGGTGACATGGTTTCTCTGTGTAGCTTTGTAGACCAGGCTGGTCTTGAATTTATGGAGATCCAGATCCCTTCTGCCTCTGCCTCCCGAGTGCTGGGATTAAAGGCATGCACCACCCCCGTCTGGCTGACTTTGAGGTTTCAAAAGCCCATACTAGGCCCAGTTTGTAATTTCTGGATCAGATGTGAGCTCTCGGCTACTGCTGCAGTGCCTGCCTGTCTGTCTGCCGCCTTGCTCCCTACTACAATGGCCATGGACTCAGCCTCTAAATCTGTAAGCAACCCCTCAGTTAAATGTTCTCCTTTATAAATTGCTGTAGTCATGGTGTCTCTTCACAGCAACAGAACAGTAACTAAGATACAGCTCATTCAAAGCCAGGAACTCAGCTGTCAAAAGAGATGAGCCAAGATGCAAAAGAGACCCAGAAATATCATCAGCATGGGCATTTACTAAGAAAACAAAGTAGAAAGCATTTTGCATTTCTCCTTTCTCTCTTTCTCTCTCTCTCTCTCTCTCTCTCTCTCTCTCTCTCTCTCTCTTTTTGAGGGAGGGGTAGGGAACAAGGTTTGTGTAGCCCTGGCTGTTCTGGAACTTGCTCTGTAGACCAGACTGACCTCAAATTCACAAGAACTGCTGTCTCTGCTTCCCAAGTAAGAGACATGTCCCATCACCGCCTGGCAACTTCTGTGCTGTTTTGAGGAAGGAAGAGACAGTGACTTGCCCAAAGCCACAAAGCCAGTATGAGGTAGAAGCCAGGGCTTCAGGAATATATAGTAAAGGCTAAGCATGGTGCCTCACACTTGTAATCCAGCACTGAGGAGTCTGAAGCAGTAAGATTATAATTCGAGGACAGGCTGGGCTACACAGTGAAACCCATAAGGGGACTCAGCTCAGCTGGTAATAAAGGCACTTTCTAAGTAAGCCTGCGGACCCGAGTCTGATACCTGGGGCTCACATGGTAGAAGAGAACTGGTCCCAGCGAATGGCTCTCTGACTCCCATATGTGCTTTGTGGCTTGTGTGCTCAATCACCACATCCCCCCCTACACACACACACACACACACACACACACACACACACACGACAAACACACACTCGAACAAACACAGTAAAAGAAAAAAAATAAGGTGGAAGGAGAGAACAAACGCCACAAAACTGTCTTCCGACCTCCACCTGAACATTGGCACACAAGCTCCCAACACAAAGCATTATAAACATTTTAAAAAGGAGGGCAAGTGTAGTGGCTCACACCTTTAATCCCAGCACTTGGGAGGCAGAGGCAAGTAGACATCTACAGAGTTCAAGGCCACCCTGGTCTGCACTGTAATTTCTGAATTAGCCAAAATTATATGGAGAGACCCTGTCTCAAACAAACAAAAGATAAATGTAGCTGGGCAGTGGTGGTACACACCTTTAATCCCAGCACTCGGGAGGCAGAGGCAGGGGGATCTCTGTGAGTTCGAGGCCAGCCTGGTCTATAGAGTGAGTTCCAGGACAGCCAGTTCCAGGACAGAGAAACCCTGTCTCAAGGAACAACAACAACAAAAAGATACATGTATGTTAAATGTGAAATGACCACCACACCAGTTTTGCCCAATTTTTGGCAGGGACTTTTCTCTTTGGATGTCTTTCTGACCAATAGGGTAGAACAGACACGCAGTGAAGAAAACACCTTTTTTTAATCACCCCACCTGCATGGATACCAGGGAGGTCCCAGTCCACAGGTTCTCATTGAGAAGCAAACCCAGTCCCCCTGCAAAACCCGGCTTATAAACCAAAAGGTCCAAAGCACCAGTGGCTAAACCTTTGAGTGGAAGAGGTCTGGGGGAAGGGATGAGAGGAGCAAGTGCTGCAGGGGGGAGGTGGCCCAGTGACAAGAGGCAGCCTGGTCTAAAGGAAATTTGTCCCCATCTGATTAGGCTCACCACCCAGGCTAGAGGAGATCCCAGGCCTGGCTGTTCTGGGTGGCCTATTGGATGGAGTGGGCTTGCCATCCTAGCTTGGGAAAGCCTGGAGTGGAGGACGGGAAGGGATGTGAGCACAGTGTGGTGTGAACTGTCTCTACTGCCCAAGCTCTCTGCTGGGTTTCCTGATCCAGGGTGGCTCCAGCTCCACAGATTGGGGCATTGACATCTGCTCTCTGCACATAAGTCACCAAGCAGTCCTCGGGGCACCGGTGGAGGGAGGAGATGAGGAAGAACCCTCCTCTCTGCTTGTCCTCGGGAAGGGTGGGGTGCTGACTCTCTCGACCACAGTCACTCACACCCCCACTCTGCCCCATCAGCACTCCTGGACACCATCGTCCTCCCGTCTGAGACCACAGTGGTGAAGTAGGTGGAGGAATTGAGGGTCAGCAGAGGATCATGGGATAGGAGACACAGGCTTAGTGATCTGGTGGACTGTAGGGTGAGACCTGGTCCTGCTTTCCTGGAGGATGAGGTTCGAAGGTTTGCCAAAGAAGGGTAGGCTGAGTCTACAAAGGCTTCCTGTGGGTGGGGCTGAACTCAAGGCTTTGGGCTCTGTCTGTCTGGTTCCCTTGAACAAGAGAAGAAACTCGTATATTGCTTTAAGAGTGGCGCTGGTGAGTGGTGATGATGGTCTGTGAGTGTACAGGAATGTCCAAGCTACACGGGGTCTTGTGAGCCAAGTCCAGAGGCCAGACACTGGGTAGCAGAGTCTAACTCAGGAGTCAAAGCCTGCCTTCACTAAAGCCTTACTGTGAGGCTCCAGCAAGTCACCTCACATCTCTGGGCCTTAGTTTCCATATCTGCACTGTAGCCCAGCGAACTGACAGCCAAATGACAGTGCTAGAAGTGTCCTCTGCTAAGGGATTATCTTAATTATCTGAGGTGGGGAAACTGAGGCCCAGAGAGAGCAAAGGCTGCGCTAGATGTCACACAGGATGTCAGTGATGCTGCTGCAGCTGGAGCCCAACACTCTACTCCTAGTTCACAATATCTTCCCCAGTGCAGGTGAATGAGGGATGAGATGGGGTGAGTCCATCTGTCTTGATGTTTGGACTGAGGGCAAAATACTAGGTAAGGAGTGAAGCTGAAGAAAGAGGAAGGCCCAGGCACGTACCAAGGCTGAGATTAAAAAAAATACAAACCCAGCGATTCCCCCTCCCACCCCCGTCCCGTCCTGCCCCAACCCTAAAGTCCGGCTGCTAAGGGTCATGGCCAGAGCCAGGGTCAAGTCCAAGTCCGAGTCTGAATCCGCATTTGCTCCAGGGGCCCACATATCCAGGAGGGGCTCCGCAAGTTGCAGTCAGCCAGTGGGCCGCCAGAGGGCGCGCCTGCCCATCGTGATCCGAGCTCCTTTACAGTGCTGCTTCTCACTCCAGTTGCCCAGGTACGCGGGTTGCTGCGGGGCAGAGGCTACCCTGACCTGCAGAAAACAAAGACGAGTTAGGGGGGTACATCTGCAGGTCTGCAAGTAGGCGAGCAAAGAGACCCGGGTACCCATGCCTCCTTTGTGTCCTTCTCTCCATCAACAATAAAGACTCTATCCCCGGCCACGCCCACCCCTCCTCCCCGCCCCGCCCCGTGCAGAGGGACCCACGTGTACAGAGGCTGCAGCTGTAAATGCGATGTCTTCTGCGGCGCCTGGTACCCATAGGAGTCAAAGCCACCGATGAAGTCAACTGCGGAAGGGAAGGGGTGAGCTATGAGAGATTGAGTTCTGAAGGTGAAGAACCCAATATAGGACCCCACTCCCTGGGAGCCCCAGCCTGTGGAGTGGGTGGTGTCAGGAATGGCCACGCCCATGCTCAGGATGTGGACTTAGAGCGAGGGTGGTGTGTGGGAGAGGGGTGAGTCAAGTGTGTTCCTTATCCTGGCGGCTGCAGGGGAGAGGCAGGCAGTCAGGCTGAGGGAAGGCCCTAAGGCTCTAAGGCCTTCGATAGGGTTAGATCCAGCAATGGGAAAAGGCAGTTCTGGGGCCTTGGACTGAACACCTGGTCATTGGTGTCCTAACCCAGAGTGGTTAAGCAGACCCCATTCATCCTCGCCCTCTCTTCTTTGCTGACCCCAGGCTCCCAGAGGGGAGGAAGCCCTGTCCACAGTTCTGAAAAGCCAGGCCACCCCATGCCCATGGAAGCTCACTTACAGCTGTCCTCCTCTTCCAGGAACACTTTGCTCACATAACAGGCAAACACGAAGCCGAACAGCTGGGAGAGAGGATGACAGTTAGGAAGAGAAAGACAAGTTATCCCTGCCCCCTTTACCCACCGGACTCAGCATCCTGTCCAAAGCAAACACTTAAGTGAAATGCCAATGCTCAAAAGACTGTACAAATGTGACTTTAGACAAGTAGTTCACCTCCTTGTGTCTCAGTCTTCCCAGATGGGCCCAGGTCGTGCCTCACTGGATTGTTAAGTGAAAGGATTATGTGACCCTGCCTGTGTAAAGTGCCTAGGACAGGGCTGGCTCTCTCATTGATGGTCTCAAGTCGCCTAGGCTGGCCTTGAGCTCTGGATCCTCCTGCCTTTACCTGGGGTTACAGGTGTATACCACCATGCCTGGCTGGGACCCCTATTTGGAGCTCCTTTCTTATTCTAACAGTTGGTACTGTCTTCTGTGTGCAAAATAGGAAGGGGGCTCAGAAAGAGCAAATGGCTTATGCAAGGTCCCAGGGCATATTAGATATTTAAGCCCAGCTGGAGTTGGCCTGATGTCTCATCCCATTCATGAAGCCTGTCCATGCCTTTCTTAGGAGCTGGAGGCAGGGTGGAGGGAGGAGAGAGGTGTCACAAGACACAGATCCAGGCAGGGTCGAAGGGAGGCTGGACTACACAGGCTGGTCTTTCTTTTGCTTCCTTTTTTGGGGGGAGGGTGGCTGGGGGAGGTCTGGAGCTCACTATGTAATCTAGGCTGACCTCCAACTTGTGATCCTGAGCCCCCTTTCCCCGCCTCTCCTGAGTGCTGGAACTGTAGGTATATGCCACCATGCCTGGCTTGTCCTCTCTTAACTGGAGCTAAAGAATGGGATGGGTTAGAATCTGCACTTCTGGGAAGATGGGTGGGTGATGAACAGGACTTACAGCTAGGAAGATCTGCAGGGCACTGCTGAGGGCTTCGATGTAGGGGTAATCAAGCAGGCAGCCAGTGACGGAGATGACATGGTGGTCCTCCAGGGCCAGGCGGGAGTTCAGAACAGGAGTCACCAGGCAGCCTGGCCCATTCTCCATCCACCACGAGCGATGCAGGGATGTGTTGAAGGTCATGATGAAGTCCCGGTCCTGGGGGGCAGAGGGGCCTGGGATACTGAGCGGTGGGGAGGGGCAGGAGGATACTCCCCAGGCTCTCACTACCATCTTGACTCTCTGAGCCTGCTCCTCTCTAGCTTGATTTGTGAAGGGAATGAAGACTACACCTGCAAGTCCATGCACTGCCAGCAAGTGGCAGTAGATGACCATCTACTGCTATCAATGAAATGCAAAGGGTGGATACTGAGCCTCTGAATTTCAGAATTAGAAGGGACACTAACAGGGACAGGGCCTAACTCCCCAGGCATTGGTGAAATCCTCAGTACAAGCCCTCATACAACCCAATGGGTTTCCATTGGTCTCCCTAGTATGACTGGACAAATCTCTCCTCTCCTTGGTCCACAATCTCCCTTTTGTTACATGGAGAAGGGCCAGGTCTCTGTGTACAGTCTTGTGCCCATCCGTGCCTTCACTCCTTCAGTCAGACTGGTAGTCACCACGCTGACAAGGAACCAAACACATAGGCCTGTGTTCAAACTTCATCTCCTGTGTAACCGCATGGGGCTACTATGGTCTCTACATTTTTTTTTTTTTCTTTTCTTCAAGACAGGTTTCTCTGTGTAGTCCTGGATGTCCCAGAACTTGCTCTGTAGACCAGGCTGTCCTTAAACTTAGAAAACTGCCTCCTCTGCCTTCCGTGTGCTGGGATCAAAGGTGTGTATCACCATGCCCATCTTCTACTTGTGTGTGTGGGTGTGTGTGTGTGTGTGTGTGTGTGTGTGCGTGTGTGTGTGTGCGCGTGCACATGTGTATATATTGAGGTAAGAGGTCAAAGTTGGGTGGCCTCCTTCCTCGATTTCCCTCCCTCCTTTTTTCTTTTACATTTAATTATCATTGTTGGTGTATGCTTGTGTGTGCCTTCCTGTACCCAGGCAACACAGGACATATCCAGGGTCTGAATGCAACTTTTGAGACTTGGTTCTCATTTCTCCTTCCATGAACTCGAGTTATCAGGCTTACAAAGCAAGCATTTTTACCCACTGAGCTATCTCTTTGACCTTGCCTTATTTTTTGAGACAGGGTCTCTCACTGACCCTGGAGTTCACAAGTTTGGTTAGACTGGCTGACCTGAAATCTCTTGGGACCCCCTTTCTCTGCCTTCCCCAGCATTGGGGTTATAGATCCACACCAATGTAGGTGCTGGAGATCTGAACTCAGGCACTTGACCAACTGAACCATCTCTCCAGGCTGGCTTAGAAGAGGAAATGGGATGGGGGACCTGGCTCAGTTGGTAGAGTATTTATTTAGCACACACGAAGCCTTGGGAGGAAAACATAGGCAGATCAGGAGTTCAAAGACATTCTTAGCTACAGAGTGTTTGAGGCCTGCATGGGCTAAAAGGGATTTTGTCTCAAAAAAAAAAAAAAAAAAAAAAAAAGGGGGGGGGGCTGGAGAGATGTTTCAGCAGTTAAGAACACTGGCTGCCCTTCCAGAGGACCAGGGTTCCATTACTAGCACCCACATGGCAGCTCACATCTGTCTGTAACTTCAGTTCCAGGGTTCACTTGTACTCTTCTGGTTTCTGTCAGCACTGAACACACATGGCGCACAGACAGACAGAAATGCAGACAAAGCACCTTGGTCTGAATGAGAATACTTGGTCCCCAGTTGGTGGAACTATTTGGAAAGGATTAGAAGGTGTGGTCTTGTTGGAGGAGGTGTATCACTGGTGGTGGGGCTTTGGGGTTCTAATAGCCCACTGATCTTTCTCTTTGCCTCGGTTGTGGACCAAGATTCGAGCTCTCAGTTGTTTCTGCTGCAAGCCTTTGCTCTGCCATCATCGGCTCTAACCCTCTGAAACCCAAAGTAAACTCTTTCTTTTGTAAGCTGCCTTGGTCATGATGTTTTATCACAGCAATAGAAAAGTAACTACCACACGCCCATACACATAAAATAAATAATAAATGAATCTAAAGAAAGAGCAAACTGAAACTTAGAGAGAAGAGGCCGTAGTGTGTCAAACTGCTGGGCAATGTTCAGCAGGGACTTAAATGGAGCAGGGTCAAACCATGCAGCCCAAGTTCTTATTTGTATTTGGTCTCCTTTGTATCTAAAAATAGATGTTGTGTCTCTCTGGGCTTGCTCTTCTGCCAGCTACACACCTCTACTTTTGTGTCTTCTCCACATGACATAGTTTGTTCAATTTTCCCCAAACAAACACTACTTAGTCTTTCCTTTTTGAAAAATATTGATCAGCCCTGGACCCACCACATCTTTGTGCCTAAACAATAAAGAATGCCTGCATGACATTTTCACCTCCTTCCGGGGCCTTCTATCACGAGGCCAGCACACACCTTTGGATTTTTACTGAGCCTGCGGACGACAGAGTCCTCGGCCCATCTTCACAGCAAATGCTCTTTAGCCTCACCAGTTCATCATTGTGAGAAGAGAGAAGAGGCCAGGAACAAAAATGGAGGCCAAGTGGATCATTTGAGTGTCCCAAGGGGAAAGAAAGGGTGTGTGGGAGAGATGACATCCCAGCCCCCAGAAGGGACGGCACAAGTCAGGCTGTGCTCCGCACACCACCAGGCCGGGGGCTTACCTGGGATAGCTGTCCAACCTCCAGGTAGAAGCAGATGATAAAGGCATTCCAGCCAACCCAGAGCACCAGCCAGGCGGCGTACTGTGGAAAGCAGACGTGAGTTCAGGGTGGGGCGGGGGGCGACTCAGTCAATGGAGACAGACTTCAAGGGCAAGGGGATCTTTGCTGTAGAGGTTACAAGTCCACATGCCTCCTTCACAGCCCTGCAGGGCAGGCAGGCGTGTTGTCTCCCTCTACTAAAGCCCAGAGGCAGGCTCAGCCTCTCTGGATCACACAGCTAAGACGAAGGGTCCTTAGCCCAGGTCGTTGCAGAGGGGCCTCTTTTATATGTACTTCAATTACTTTGAGGAGTATAAAAGCAGGCCTACCTTCCTTAATAAACAAGTCTGCAGCGCACCCTGCTACTCACTGACTCCCCAGTGCCTGAGTCATTGGTACTGCGTCTTCTCACCCCCTCCTCCAAGGGTAACCTGCAACATGTGGTGCCCAACTTGGGGCTTGAACCCATGACCCTAAGATTAAGAGTCTCATGTTCTATTGACTGAGCTAGTGGGGGCAGGAGCACCAGAACCACCGACCTCAAAAAGCCACACAGGCTATCTTCAGACCATGTTGTCTTTTTTTTTTTTTGGGGGGGGGATAGGGCCCCAGTGCTGAGC